TCATTGTAAACTAACATTCTTTTTTGTTATTTAATTAAATTTATCATTATTATTTTATTATATTGTATCATTGCCACCCACACAATTAAAATACCTAATTAAAAAGTTATTAAATTTCTGTACATTCTTTTATGATATATGACTTAATTACAATAAGTAATATGAAATAAAATTGAAATTCCATAGTCTGCATAATGAAGTCTCGTTTTTCAGGTTAGATTTCTCTTAATGACAGGGATGATAAGTTGAGTTGTTCCAATTACGATATCGCAATAATATTCTTTACATATTCCGATAAAAAAATTTGAATTTGGTTAGTGTCTAGAAAAAAAGCCCACTACGAAAATAATGTATGGTGGTGCTACGAGCTAGGTAAAACTACACTAAATATGCAGACAGTAACTTTCTTTAAGTAAACAACAAGGATTGTATATAACCGAAATCAAAATATCTTTCAAGACACATTTTGCTGTGATAAGATTTTTTGGGAATGTGTTGTATTTTTTTCTTGTAAACAATATATCACATAAGAAATAGATTCTATTTGAACATTATTGGACTTGATAGTTTGCACATAAGAACAATTTGTCTTACCAATAACCAAGTGGTTATCAGATAGTAATTTCGATTGGTAGTTCCAAGAGTTCTAATGAGACGTGATCAATGGAATTCAGTTGCATCAGTTGTGAGGTTGTTATTCATCAATTATATTAGTTGTAGGTTGAGTAATACGCCATATTGATTGTACTTAGTTATGTAAACTAGCGGCCTTCAGCACAGCGGTCTGCGATTTGAAATCTCTTCACGAAACTTTAGTGTTTTATGTTTAATCACCGGTAGAATCAAGGACATATGCTTATAGTAGAAGAATAGCAGTATAAAGTAGTTGTTATTTGCTTCCTTGTTTTTCAGTCAAACATAGCTCTGAATAATTCATGATATTAACTTAAGAGTTCAACAATCACCACAAAACATTGGGCACATAATTAACCATAATTCATTATCCTAACAAACTTCCTGCTAATTTAATTATAGCATCAAAACTCACAAAATTTATGTCGTTTATCTAAGAGATTCAGTTATAAAAGTTAGTTTTGATCGGTTTTTTTAACTTCATAGTAGACAGAACAGTTAAACTACCCTTTCATTATTATAGTCTTATATCACTTCTTGCACGTAGAAGGTAATTATTTTTTACACTATTCTCGAAAACTTAAAACAATAACATAATATATTCAAATACCGGCCGGTTATAATGATTTCTGTCAAAACGTAAATAAAACCGACTACTTGCAATTATATCTACAATTCTGGGAGTGGAAAACTTAATAGTTTTTTAATTATTAATTTCCATTCATAGAAGAAATAGGAATCAGCATGTACTGCTGATAAGGAAATATTCAAGATGAAATAACTGTCGACTGGACTCAGAAACATTTGTTTTCACTCGAGTTTCACTATCCGTTATAATTTTATCATTTACCAAATATAACACTACTTTGAGTACAGCAAAATTGATTGAATCAGTCTCCATAAAATAAAAATCTACAAATTTGAAATTGGATTCCAAATTTCCCAAGATTTTATGACTCAAAGTAAGAAATTAAAACACCATCTGCTTCTAAGAGACTTACCTCCCTCCAACAGTATCATAACAAGATAACTGTCTAAAGAATTGTCTAAAAAAATGTAAGCCCACTAACAGATTGAAAAATAGTTTGTTCTTTACTTTGAACTAATCTTGATGAAGTCTAATTCACTTTGTATGCTAAGTGTGATTTCATGATATGTTCTTTTTTCATGGTACACTTTCTTCCTGTCTTTTTATTCTCTGAAGCAGTGGCTTACAATGAGTCACGAAACGTCAGAAAATCTAGTTTTTCATCTAACTCGGTGTTACGAATATACAATATCTCTATTTATTTATTTCTATTTGTTTGTATACTCATGCATTGTTAAATATATGTGTGATTAAACTGTTCGAAAAATATTACATAACTACAAACCGATTTTAGACCAACATCTTCTACTTATTGAACAATTTAAAGGACTGCGAACTCGAATAATATACATCATTAAGTGTGGTGTCTGTCGCAGTTATCCAGAGGATTCGATTTCGCCAATCGCCTACTTATAAATTGCTTGGATGACAAAAGATATTTCTAGCTAATCAACCTGAAAGAATACTTTTCAAATATAATTTGTGAGTGTCTTCAACATATCATAATGTAAACGATGGATGGTCACAATTATTTATGAAGTCTACAGTGTTATACAACATTCCTAACTGACGAAACAAGGCACTTCCAATTGATAGTAGAAACATAATCACTATAGTCTATCACTATTATTCACAATAGTGTACAAAAGGAGTACAATAAACAATATATTTCACTAGCAATCTACTTTTGTGAATTATATTCGTCACAGATTGACCTCACTTGAGTTGCTAGTGAACAACGATGGAGCATCGCACAACCATTTCATCTATGATGGTGTTTATAAGCAGCGAACACCTACGACACATACTAGGATCGAACATAAGTTCTTCATCACCTGCATCAAACGCCTGACCATTAGAACTAGTGGGAGAGTGTCTAACGATACTACTTATTTTCAATCAATTCACAATATGGTGTCAAGATCATTGGATGTCATCGGTAACAACAGTTTCACCGTCAATATGCCTGAATTGCCAGTTATGAGGATTTTCAAAATACCAGACGTGTTTTGAAGTGTTTATTAAGTGCTTTGGTTATTGTAATTGAAAGTCGAGATCATGAGTCAATTGAAGCGAGATCACCATAGAAAACCTGGAACCACTGGACGACCGTTTCGTCTCATTGTGGGACCCTCATCAATGTGCGTCCGCGATCCCGCCTTACGAGATACGAAACCAAGACATATTGGTCTTGCGCGCGAACGCTTAACCTCTAAATCATTGAGTCGGCATCCAACGCTGTTAGTATCTAACTTCAACTAATCCACGAAGTTGAGCCATACACTCATCATTGTCTTCAGTGAGTTACTATCTCACAACAGACCTGGTTGGACTCCACTGGTCACTGCTTCTCATCAGAACTCCAGGAAATACCTCTTGAAGTCAGTCACTAGTGAGCATATGTTGATTAATATCAGAAGGGGTTTTTGTGAATATTATAATAACTTTAACAGTTGATATTGTATTTTAGTTGAAAGTATTTTGAAGAGATGTGTTTGAAATGTATTTTACCTAAAACATTTCACATAATACTCGAGTATTCTGCGTTGTATGTCTTACGGAGTCAATAATATCCACTTCTTAGAAGTCCCACAATAAAATGAAACATTTTCAGTGCTTCTCAGCTTTGATCAATCAGTGACGAGTAAAACCCACTAATTACATCAATCTCAAGAAATACCTTATCATTCAGACTGGTCTTTATGATCAATTAGGTTTTTAGTTATTTCTAAATCATCGAAATGCCGTTTTATTTTCATTAGATGGTTTTACACAAAAGGAATAAAATGTTTTGTTTAAAAATGTAAACGAAAGTTCAAAAGTTTTCAAAACTCTCATTCATTCGAATGATTTAAAACTATAGTCAGTAACAATGCAAAGCACAAGTTCAATTATTTTGTTTTGTTTAATTATCAAAATATCCTCTTATCATACATAAAGATTACCAGTGAATTCAAAATCATAGATGATTTTTATGAGATACAGCTTTTTGAATCAAAGTTAAATTTATTGTGGTCAGTAGACCAGTAGAAATTGTATGATAGCGTACTCCTATTATAGTTTAGTAATGCTTTTCTGTCTTCGGTGCATAACTGTAAATCCTATTAATGCATGAACTTATTAGAACGATAATTATTTATAACTACTGTTAGTGGGAGGTCATTGGAGATGCTAACGTTATCAAATGTTTCTAACGACTCTGACTTTCTTTTAAGCTATAATGCCTAATACGTTTTCCCAATGGGATTATACAAAACACAAAGTTGGATATTTCAATATTAGTTGTATTACTCTCGATGTATTATTGCTCAACTGGAAATACCAGTTATATTTCACCGTTCACAAACTGTTAACAATCAGAACAAGAAAATCTATCAACACTAACTACTATTGTAGTGAACAGAACACAGGTGAGGAAAATCGAGTGTATTTGACACGGTAGTTACAGACTATCCCACTAAAATCTGACAGCCATACAATAAACAGTTAATTTGTAAACTATCAATCAATTGTCTCAATCTTGACCATTCCTCCTACAAATATCAGTCCATAGTCTCCGATACCGATAGCGTCCCGTTCCCATTCTCTCCTTATCGATATACTACTGAACTAGATTCAATGCCCCACCATCATTATATATTACTTGTGTGGATATAAGTAGCCCGCACCACACGATTACATGACCACGCAATTTATTCTGACTTTTGACACACAATTAAGTCGAATCATTTCAGTTATTCCTTCATCTATAGATTTATTGTTGATACTTGTCCAACGGTGGCTTCAATTATTTTTCTTGAGCATGCACATGATAACATTTATGTGTCTATTCGCTCTCTGTACTTCTTATGGGGCTTACAAAACCTGAGTCACTTCATTATTCGTTGAGTCAGTGCACTACCAAACATCAATTCTTCATATATTCGCTACATCTTTGATTCCTTGTCCGTCGTTCAATTTTAGCATGTTTGAAATGTGCGTATCAAAAATAAAATTCGTGTTCGACCTCTACTATCTACAATGTATCATCATGATGTGCCGACAGAATGTATGCGAATTAAACCTAATGTATATTTAAACGGCATCATTACCACATCAACACGGTGAAATCAACAATACGGTTCTTAAATATGAAATTTACTAAAGACAGTCAAAACAAAGTCGTTGTCTAGACAGAAAATTTTATAAGTTAAAATATTCATTTCAGCAAGTACACAAAGATAGAACATTGTTCACAAAGTTTGATTCATTGCACAAAACACTAAGTGTGACATCCGATTCAATCTTTGGGCAGTTTTTCAATTATCTTCTCAAACCATGATTGCATCAATTCAGCACGTTGAGCACCTGTGGCCAAGACTTCTTCATGGTTCGGCTTCAAATCGCTTTCGACATCCAGCACACTTATATTTGTAACTAATGAAACAGCGAACACTTGAAGTCCACAGTGCCGGGCAATTACAACTTCCGGAATCGTACTCATACCTGTAAAACGTAGTGGGATTAGCAGTTATACATGGACATAAGGTTCTGTAGATAAATCGGCGAAAATGAGAGAGTTTGACTGATTCTCCTTCACTTAAGAGAACGTATCTGACATAAAACACGGATCAAAGATGTGAGTTAGTTACTAAATGACGCTTGTTATATGAGTATTTATTTACTTGTCAAATATTTAAACACTGATAAATTAAACATCTACAACATGTCCGAATTGGATCAATAGTGGTTAGCTGTTTCCACAAAATATTGAATTCGCTAACAGTCGAACAAGACCATGCTCTCAAATATCACATGTGCATATTTTGCAGGAGCGAAACAGAAATCTTGAGTGATGACACACAGCTTGCAACTTATTCTCATAAAACAGAGTGAGGAGCCTGTTACTTCAAGGCATCCAACAACCATAATGTGATAACACAAAATTTTCTCAACATCTGATCATTGAATACAACAGTTATTGACTGTTACAAGACACTATCTAAATGAAAATGATTAATAAAGACTGAACTGTTGCAGCGAATCGAAATATATTATTGGTGATAAACAAGGTGTCGGTTGCAATCAACTTCGGAAGTTTTACCGAAAGTCACTCGATAGACAGTTTTCAGAGTTTGCATTGATGTTAGTTGAGAAAATTTGAGTAAGCCTTCATCCCATGTAAGGTTAATTGACTTAAACTGAATATCTGTATTAAGTACTCTATATACGAAAGGATTATATTTTTATATTTTGTGGTCTCCATTACATACACAATTCATTTCAAATGCTTAACTGACTGAAGCTAGCGTCGGAAGTGTGTTCTGTCAATTTGAGAAAATCATCAGTAACATTCCATTTTAAAAGCAAGCAGTTTTAATGTCATTGAAATTTAGTAAATAAGTGGTTGTTTAATTACCGACTACATCACAACCCATGTTAAGCAGCATCGTGCATTCAGCAGGTGTTTCGTAACAAGGACCACCACTCATAACGTAAACACCCTGGTGAACCAAATTCCCGAAGCCGTTTTCTTCAGCTACTTGCACAGCTAGTTTTCGTAGGTCTCTGTCATAGGCATTCGTAAGTGCTGGGAATCGAGTACCAAATCTACAGAAGTGAAACTAAACACAATGTAACATACTCCTCCTGATTCGGTCCGACCAAAATATTATTTAATCCTAGTCCAGGAAGGTAAATGTGGTCTTTCAAGATCACGAAGTCACCGAGTTTGAGACTTCTGTTGAGACCACCAGCAGCATTACTAACCATAAGAATTTTGACTCCCAATAACTTCATCACGCGTATGGGGAGAGCGACCTATGGCAAGAGATAATTGATCATCACAAATGTATTACCGTGTCATTGCTATATCCCTCGTACATGTGAAACCGTCCTTGCATCACAACTACTTTTCGGCCGCTCAGAGTTCCAAATATCAGGTTTCCAGAGTGTCCAACAACTAAAAATGTTAATTGAATGAATGCAACCACTTACCAGACGTTTGAGGGAAGTTGGGAATCTTTGTGTATGGGATTGTGATTTTATCTTTTACCCCATCAGCCAACTTTCCCAGACCACTTCCACAAATGATCCCGATTTGTGGTTTGAAACGTACTGATTTAAGGATATGGTCTGCCACTTTCGTAACATTACGCATGCTGGCGTCCACTTGTTTAGGCCTATTTTGATTTTTGCTTAATAATCTTTCAGAAAACTTACATTTTAATTCGAGTACTTCCAAGCAGTGCTAAAAGTTGAGTGAATGGAATAATTTATTTAATTTTTGTTTATAAAATGTTGCAGCACTGTTGATTTCGAATGAAGGAATTATGTACTGTCCATGAGAGTTCGTTATGAATGAATAATTTATCACCTCTAGCCGTTTGTTTAAGTACATAAATATTTTCTTCACAAACCTCGTTTAGTTTAGCTGTATTTATAAATTTACTTCGAATGTTTCAAATGAATACATTCTCACTGTGTTTTTGAGCATCAGTTGCCAACAAACGCTTCTAAGCATTTAAAATCCGGAAGAAAGTGAATGAAAGGATTCGACAAACGTATCCCTTCTGTTCTTGTTAAATACGTAATTGCTCAACACTTTATTACCTAGTATTTTTCCACTCTATGTTTTTTGGAGATCCAGACTTTCACGAAACTCAGCAACATCGTGAAACAATTATAAAGTCAAATAAAGAGACGTTTTGAAGTTTAATACAGTGAACTTACTGATAAGCTGTAGAACACGGAAACAAATTTCTGATTCAAAGTGTTTTATATAGTGAATTTGACCTTGAAAAAGTTATAGTGGCTATCTTTGCTGAACATTAAATATTATCATTATCCACAATATCTTTTTTTAAGTTCGTTCAAACCAGCTTACAGTTTTATTTTTTCTTTATATTGTTTCGGTACGGTTACAGTTACCTGATAATACCCTATTAATGATTGTTTAATCACTTTGAGCATTAGTTTTGGTCAGAATATTAATTAGTTGTGGATTCATTTACCTCCTAGTTTTAGTGAGTGCAATGGTCTCAATACAGTGCTATTTAATATCGTTCTCATGATCAAGTATAAACAATGGAATTTTTCGCATTTTAATATCCTTCACTTCTTCAAATCAAATATCACTTAAGGGTATTCGTGAAAGCACTAGGAAGATTCATCTCTGGACTTTTACCTGTGTAAATTTTTCAAGTTTTCACGAGCTGATATTTAGCCAAAGTTTTGAACCAGGATCTGATTATGTTTGTTCAATTCCTTAGCTGATTCAATATCTTTTAAACTGTTTAGAATCCAAAACTTCAAGCACATGTTTCCTAAATAATTTAGCATTATCGACATTTGGAAATATGAGCATATTGTATGAAACATTTCATATTGTTGCATTCGTGCTATGTGATTGTTGTTTGGTTACTTCATATATCGTCTCGTAATGTGTTTCATATTTGATCAAGTTCGTGTATCGATCGTTATTTGGCAACGTTTTATAATGATTTTCAAATTCGTAGTGGAATCCTTACGATAGACAGACTGCTGCGGCTCTAATAACAGTTTGTTAAATCAGTTTCCTGAAGCGGTTAATGAAATTAGATACAAGCAGACTTAAATGTAAGCAATATTTTATAACTTTCTGCGTCTGAAAACTACGTTCAGCTTGGGAACTCGTTCTATTGATTCGCTCGGAGTATCCGTTAAATTATTCACCTTTAGCATTTATATATATGTGAATTAATTGTTGCCCAGATTCTTATTTTACTGAGAAATCAGCAACGTATTTCTGAATCAATATTTTGAACATAAAACGTTGATTAAAAGTATGTCCTTGTTTCTGAACTGCAACAAAGATTCAAATGTCAGTCAGGATTAGTGCCTCGGAAATGAGTTATTGAAACCAGGACATTTAAACGACTAAACACGTCCATATAAGCTAAACACTAGTCAGGTCGCAAACCATAATAGATGAGAGGTTGCTAGATTAATCACCAATCTCTATTATGGATATCGAATTATTCATTATGCTACAACAATTTTACACAAAATTATTTGATAGCAATTGATAATTGGAACGCAAGGATTGATAGTTAAAATTTCTGCTCTTATATCCTATTCTTTTGTTGAAGGTTTTCATTCATTGAACAGAAATGCATTTCGAAAAGTATAATCTATGATTAAGTAGGTGAAAAATTTTCAGCGTTAGCCATTCTTAACCCCAAGTACGTCATGAGAACGAACGACATATCTCAAATTTATAGGTGAGCAACATTTTATAGTTGTTTCACTGTCACCGAAATTAGCGATATCGTGTTTCACGAAATTATTTTGGATCTCAACAACAATCATTTTATTATGGAATAATTTACAAAGGTAGGGAATTATTTTATTTTAACGTATTTAAGAGAAACTATTTAAGAGAACTATCAAGAGAACGTTTACAGTCTAAAGTCGCCACCATTGACGAGGACATACTAACACAACTAATCAGCAGCTGATGGGTAGTGAAGCCGCGAATATTTCACATGACACATAGATATACCATTTTACTCTATAAAACGTGAGTGATATATGTGCTCGAGTGATATAATTCCTAACTTCACTTCCCTCGAGATTTCGTAAATGATCCGTAGGATGAAGCACTTGATGCCTTACAATTTGGCTGCCGAACGAAAGGCCAATATAAGTCTGATAGCATCATGATTCGCTTGACCCCATTATACACACTTATCTAATCAACAACAAGCGACGTTCAGCTGGAATAATATAAAATGACATTCAACCAATTCTCAAGTTTGATGTTTCGGTTTTTCGCATCTGACTCTCTCATATTCATTTATGTTATTTTCACATTTTTTGCCATTCGGGCGTGACGTCGAGTAAAAAGGCATAACGTTTCATAGTATCCGAACCAATGTCATATCAACATTAAATTACGAAAGCGGCAGCTCAGTGTGGATCTTAAAGCTACACAACTAGTATGCATACACCATTCATTTACTAGTCTTCATGATTTATAGATCCATAAGACTGATGTGTTTTTTACTGAAAGCACAAGAACTTCAATACTTAGTCTTTATATTGTAATGAACGACAAGTAATCCGGACTGCTCGAACGTGTTTCGTGTGTTATTGGTCCGATCGATGATTCACTGTTCTCCAATTGGCGGCTCCGTCGTGTCATATAAATAAAAGCAGGGAACACAGGCCAAGTTATAACAGATTCAACGTCAGAAAACTTTATTACCATACTTCAGAATGAAGATATTAACTAGAAGAGTATAATCAAACTTTAATCATGAAATGCTACTTAACCAACATATGGTTGCAAGATACAGCGGGTCGCACCTACGAAATTTATCGGATTGAAAATTATCTGGCTCCTCAATCGTTCGTGACGTGAGATCGCATGTTAAGAACAGAGTAGTTGTGCCATTTTTTCAGCCAGTAAAATAATTTGGTCCCAGACTTTTAACTGTATGATTGTGTTATTCTGATCATATAATTGGTATACACTTGAGAGACAAACTGTCGGAAGACAGTGAGTGCGTCATTCTGACAATTTGTAACCTCTTCCAAAAGCAATCAAATATGAACAACTTTGGATTTGATTTTAGATCTATTACAATACGTGTGGCAGCATTCATCCTCGAAGTAATGAAAGTGATATCATCGTGATGTTGCATGATTTAGAAAGAACTTCTAAAGATATTATGCCACTGCGACAATTTACTAACAAGTACAATTGCGAGACTGTTCTGAACGAAATACAAAAGTTAACGAATTCTGAGAGTATAAATTCTTCGCACGGTATACGCACGGTAAATATGTCGTACTGGTTTGTAAAAATAACGATGTTGACTGGACTTCAACAGATATTTTGTTCAGATATTCTTCTACATCAGTCTACACCATTCACAATTTATTACAATAGGTCAGTGATCCTGAGTTTATCTATGCAGTTTTTTTTCCAGTGGAGCTTTAGCTTCTACTTTACAGTGATCACTAACAGTGTTGATGCAATTTGTTCTCCCGAAGTGTCGTCACTTACTTTCACTGGTAAGTCTTTGTATTACTATACGCACTGAAGCGATGCATACCGGTAAATATTGTCGTGTCTAATGTTCAGTACCACGATCTATCTAGAATTAACTTCTAAGCCCCAACTATGAGGCAATTCGACTACTCCGTATAGGTCAACCTGGAGATCAAAACGATCAACCTCACTACTTATTGTTCTCCAGATCTTGACGCCATCTGCAAACAATAATGTCAATGACTTAAGCAGTCGCAGTAGTTCATTGGAGATTAAGAAGATAGAGGACCGAAAAATTTGTGCCTTACATCACGTTTGACTCGTGACCTATTGATAGGAACAAGTCTCAGAAGTATTTCCTGATCCCCAGAAGCTTTCAGATCTGCCTTTTCATCTATAGTGGGCTAGTTGATAGCATACGCACTGATGATGAAGTGAACGGCAGTGTAACAGACCACAAGTTTTCTTGGCGAGACTAAAGAACATGGACGAGCCAATCAGAAGCTTTCGCGGGTTTTCAAGGTCACGGCGCTAAGTTCGGTACCTGATGCCTACGTACGGTCGGTTTACAACGGATTTTAGAGAAAACATGATAATTAAGCGTCTACAAGATAAGTTATCATAAGATTTTGGCGCAAAACTAAATTATACATTTGGATAGAGTTGTGGCATTATAGTTGATGTTAGTTGGTGATGAAAACCCTAAGTATATTTCCTAACCTTAACCATGAACTGTAAATCATAATTTGAATTATTCACACAGGTTTATGACCCTCATTTAGTCTTAGTTATTACGTTGACACTCTCAGATTCACTCTAGCGTCGCTCAAATTTCGTCCATAATTCATAGTCTCATCTTTAACCCTAAACCGTAACCCTAATCTTAAACCCTGAACCATACCAACATACCTACAACACTGAAACTATGTGGTCGAGGCTGAAAGAATTTTCGGGACTTTATCATGGTTTCAGAGGTCGGCTACTATGGAGCCACAGGGATGAGTTCCTGTGCCGGATGCACTATGATTTTAGAACTTCTGAACCTATATCTGACCTTGATAAGTTTTTGATACATGTAAAAGAACAGTATCCCCTTTAATTTTTGAGTTTTATATATTTTTACTGTATGCTAACTGTCTTGTGATTGGCTAATATTTATCAAGGTCATTTACGATTCGTTCAAAGGTCGTCCATGTTCTTTAGTCTCGCAGTTTTCTTAATGAAAAGAGTAGCTGTTAAGAAAACATTTAGCTGTTTCTAACTTCCACAACAAAATATCAGATAAGACTATCGATATAACTTTTCATAAAATCGTGAAGATGAAAATAAAAATTTCTATGAAGCTTACTGATGAATCAATACTAACAGTATATGAAAAATAACATTTGATGCAGAAAATTAAGTTTACAAGCTCAATATACAGCTGAATAAAACACACGGCACATAGAATTTCTTATAGTGTATGGTTTCTATTACGTCTATACAAATTCTTATATTTCGAGACATGTTCTTTATCGCAAAGAATACTTCACAAAAATAAATCATTAGAGAAACTGGAGGCCTGAATAATTAATGGTGACTCTTAAGTAGTAGATATTAACTACAAACTATCTTCCATGGATTCCAGTGTCCGAGAATATGACGAGCTATGCGAATTATTCCTTGTAGTTGATTAAACTCACCTGCGAGAGTTCATCTTCTTAAGCGTACCAAAAGCATATGCAGGCAAATTGCCAGCTTATCACAGACATTCTACAGTTGCTCTGGCAAATGCTTAAATCGACCTAATAAGGC